AGACTCCCTGGAAAAGACCTTGATGTTTGGAAAGTGTGAAGGCAAGAGGAGAAGGGGACGACAGAGGACAAGATGGTTGGACTGTGTCATCAAAGCGACCAACATGAATTTGACCCAGGCAGTGGAAGACAAGAGGGCCTGGCGTGCTCTGGTCCATGGGGTCACGAAGAGTCGGACACAACTAAACGATCGCACCATGTTGGATTATTCACCTGTGGAATAGCATACACCTAAGGCAATGATTCTTAGTTTTAGTGGCTGTATGCCCCACCTGGTTCCCAATAGCTTTCATAGAATATTGTTCCTTGCAGAGACCATTTGCTTTGCACTTTAGTGGTGTTTCTTATAAGACAGTATATGATCCAAAGTAACAGATATTTTGGGGGCAAAACAATGATCTAGCTGGATGCCCTTTCAGATAACCTGAAGTTTCCATGGGTCCTGCTTGATTTTCAGGCACATATTTGAGACTTAGCAGTGTTGGGTTGAAGTAGCTTTCTATTGTAATATGTGCCAGGTTCTTCTAATGCATCCATTTAAGATATGTTCCATCTTCTGAATACTCTCTGACTGAGCAGCAACTGTCAGATTAACAGCATAAATAAAACTGTTGGTGCTTTGAGAAACTGATTGCTCACTGGTGCAGATGTAAAACAAAACAGGATCCTATGCACTGCTCAGAGGCAAACCATTCCTTTAAGTCCCCCATAGACTGTGTTGTTCTTGAAGTTAATGCAAAATTTGTAATTTTGCAAAATTGTTGTTGCTGCTTTGGTTACCTTATAAGCTTTGTTTATACAGTATTATAACATTTTACAGTAAGATTTGATAATGAACACTGTCATAGGTGGCAATAAATAAAACTTACCCCTGTGATCTTCCTAATTTCAAATCTATCATCAATATGTTGGGTTAAATTGTTGCTGTAAAATATTTCCCAGGTTTAAAGCCAGCCTATTTTTGGATGCAGAGTAGATCCACTACCTCCATTCGATGGTTAAGAATAATTTTTTTCAGGTCTTTATACAAGTGACTATGATTGGCCTGAAATTTTTTGAATATGTGAATTCTTTACCAGGTTTCAAAACAGCAATCACTTGTGATTTTCTCCAGATTTTCAGGAACCTGAGAAAGTAAAGGCAGTTATTAAAGAAATCAAGTAGCCACTTTTTTGTTACTGTGCCAAAATATTTTATATATGCAGATATTGTTCAGGCATGCTGACTTGACATTTTTTGAGCTATGAAGAGTTTTTTCCAATTTGTTTAAGCTAAATGGAATTCTAAGGTCTCCAGCTGCTTGCTTCTTTCACATTTAAATTCTAACTTCTATGATGAAGTTCAGATCTGCCATTAATGGGGGGAAGATGGGCTATTTAATTTGCTGAAATGTTTGCATGATATAAACTTTACTTCAGGTAAGCCAATCAGAATGATCTTTTCACTGCCTTCATAAACTGTTCATAGGCCTCTTAGACCGGACAGGTGTTCAGTATGAGTCTGTCCACTATAGTGCTGAATTCTGCCAATCAGATTTTTTTAATGCATTCATTAAAAATGCATATTGTATTTTAATTGTTGTAAGCCGCCCAGAGACCTTTGGGTACAGTGGGCGGCATATAATATAAATAAATAAATAAAAGGTGGGAGAAGTTTGCTGTTATGAATGAATAAGGGATAGTTGGAAGCTTTTTGCTTAGTTTAGCAGTTTCTCATTTGTAATCATTAAGTGCATATCCCCAGACAGCACTGTGACTATTGAAGTGTAATATGTATCTATGTTTTGCTTATGAAATCAATTGAATCAATGGAACTTACAGAGAGATGATTCTCCAAGTCCCCACTGATTCAGTGGACTTACTTTAGTATTGACTTACTATACTAAGCAACAGGATTTCAGTCAGTATTATTTATTTATGTGTCCTCTACAGAGTTTGCATGCTCCCCCCATAGAAACGTAATATTCACACATCATTAGTAAAAAAATATTTTAGACACCATTATTAGGTGTTTTGGGACTACAACTCACAAAAGCTGTAGAAAATATAAAGTCTTCTCAATATTAAGTTAACAAAAGCAATTAATTATAAATTATGGTATATGACACCTGAAAAATTACCAAAAATATATCAAACAAATGTTGAAAATGCAAATTAAAAGAAGGTAGTTTTTATCATATGTGGTAGACTTGCAGGGAAGTTAAGAGCTTTTGGAAACTAGTCCATGAGATTTTACAAAAAATGTCCTCTATAATTCCATATGAACCTGAATTGTTTTTTTGTTGAATATATTACCACGTGGTGGCGCTGCGGGCTTCAGTGCTTTTGAAGTCCTTTCCGATGTCCCTTTTCGCTCATTTTTAAGTGTCTTACAATGTTTGGAACATGTTTTAAATGCTTGCAATCGTTAGCCCACCTCCTGAACCCTATGCAAACTTAATTTGGTGTTGTTCTGAGTCGTCCTTAATTTTTGGTGATTTTTTGTTTTCCCTATTTAAATGCATTGAACTGTCCATTCAATTGATTTAAATGGGGAAAATAAAAAAATCACCAAAAATTAATGAAGACTCAGAACAAAACCAAATTAATTTTGCACATGTTTCACAAGGTGCACTATGGAATCCAAGCATTTAAAACAGGTTTCAAACATTTTAAGACACTTTTAAATGAGCAAAAAGGGACATTGTTAAGTGAAATTCCCCCA